CAAGATAAAACTTTGCTACTCTAGACCTGACAGGAGACACACTTTCAATTTTGAGTGTTTAAATAAATTAATTTAATGAAGACTTTGGGGGTAAATGGCCTGGTGTCACAAAGCAGAAGCAAAAAAGCTTCTCTCCAATGAAAATCTAACAAACAGACAGATAATTTACTCAGGGTGCAGGGATTAAACTGCTCATCCTCTTTAATGCAACATTCCCAGTGTCTGGGTCTTCTAGAACAAGGAACGTCTACCATTAGTCCTTTGTCATGCCAAAGCATCCTGGGACCATTCCTGTGTGGGATTACTCACGGATCTGGAGAATATCACGGCTGAGCATAGTTTGAGTAGCCTGTTCTCAGTAGAATCTCGCTACACACACCCAACCCATGAAACTAACCACAGTGGTGCTAACACACGGTGAAACAGCAAGCCAAACTCAAACAAAGTTTGAATAAAACAAAAAACATGTGAAAATGACTATTTGGACCAACCTATCCAGCCAAAATACAAATATCTTGTTCCTTTAAACCCAAGCAGACCTCTGCTCTGTGAAAATCCTTGGCAGTGACAAAGTGAGTTAGTCTCTACACATCAAACTTCTTTATAATGAACTGGCGACCTGTCTAGGGTGTCCCCCGCCCCCTGCCAGGTGACTGTTGGAAATAATCTCCAGGTCTTTACAACCCTTACAGGTAAGAAGATGAATATTAAGCTTCTGCACCATCTGCTTTCAGCTGGCACTGATGTCATATCAGCCATGCCGACCTACCATCCTGATCTACTGAATGAATGAACATGAGCTTAGACCTGACCTCTAATGTTCTCCCCTTAAAGCTGACTAGTTGCCTCTTCTCTCTTTGCTCTTTCACTCAGAGGCAGGTGCTCACCTGACTCTGAGTGAAAGAGCAAAGAGAGACTGCTGCAATCAAACGGACATCAAGAAAATATGATGGTTGACGGTTAAAAGGCATAGGAGCTGCAAGAAGACAAGGGGTAGGAGATGTGCAGTTGGAAGGAAGCCATGGAGAGCTGGGAGGCACTGATAGAGGAGGGGGCGGGGCATGACAATGGGAAGGGTGTGGAAACAGAAGAGAAGCAAGGTACTTACTTCCCTGTTTATCCGAATCTAAGAGATGCCAAAAATTTAGTAGCAAGAAGAGCAGAAAATAGAAAGAGAAAAAGAAAGAGAAGAGGAGAAGAGACAAGAGCTAGTTATTGTGATTAAAGATCAGGAGGAAGGGGTGATGAAAGGGTTAAAAAGAACCTGTGGAGAGAATATTGTTCAGAAAACTCAGACTTTCATCTTTGTAAAAGAAAAATATAGTTTCATCTATTTTCCCCTGAAGAGGTAGGATTGTCTGGTCAACGGTAGCCTGGCGCATCTGTGATTGTTGAAAAGAGAATAGAAGAGATGGAGGGTAAAGAATGAAAGTCTGACCAAGCTTTAAGATAACCCCGACATGACCCGACCAAACGGCTTCAGTAATGAAAGCAGGCAGCATCGGACAACACCTGGAAAACACAAAATACCATCGGACACTTCCAAAGCTTTGAAATGGATAAAAATCACCATCACCGCACCTGACTCCTTCTATTTAAGATTGGTCTGCCAAACTTTGACTGGAGCAGGGTTCGCCAAAAGGAAAACCGTTTTTATTTAGGAATCAAACAGAATTTCAGGAAAATAAAATCCTGAAAAAATTAGGAAAACAAGATTTTAGGAAGATTTCATCCAAACAAAAAATGTATTTTCTTTCTGCCCGTGCATGAGCCAAAACGTACGGAAGCTGATTGCCGTCAGTGTGAGGGAAAAAAATAAAAAACAGGAGCAAAGTCCCGTTATAACGAGATATCCGTCTAGTTTTAACAAGAAACTTTTTTGTTAAAACATATTTATCATCTCATAGCAATGAGCTAGCTCATGGTGGTAAAACTCAGACATCTCGAGGAATTTTATCATCTCAACCAGAAGAAAGTGACGTTTTTTTACATAGCAGTAACTTTGGTCAAGCCGTCCTCCATTTTGAAATCAGAAAAACCCGCCGTCATCTCCACGCAAATGTGCAGAACTTCCGCATTCTAGTTGAGGCGCCGCTTTCAAAGTACAGTAGACTTCCTGTTCTTAAACTTTTACATTTAAAAACTTTGAAACTTTTTTACATTAATAAAATAAAATGCATAAAAAATTTGTCCCAATAGTGAATTAGAAATGTTAGGAAGCTGTCAGTCTGTCGCCTTGGCAACACGGCGGAGCTAGCGAGTATAACTTTATTCACTTTATTGACCCTTCTGTTGTGGAATTTGTCAACAATATACAACAATTCGCTGTTGTAATTCGTCAAAGTTAAACATCACGAACGTGAATAACAACACAACATATAACCTCCATTTTACTGTCTTGACCTTTATTGAGAAAAAATAAATTTTTACGTCTTTATTTCCATAATGTCTATTACGTTATAATGAGAAGCGTTCCTGTTATTTCTAAATACCGCTTCTTTTGTTCTTCGTACTGACAGCAATACGCTTCCGTAATAAAGTCCGGGTACAACTACAAATATAACTCAGATCTACCATCATAGACACACTATTCTATAGTTTTAGTTTAGTCACTTACAGCCAGTTTGGACTAGATAGAAACCGTCGTTTAAGGGTGGCATAATAAACCCACCAAGGGCATTAACATTATCTGGTAATGGTACATTGTAAGTCTAATTTTCATTGTATTTCCAGTATATGCTACACCAAAACACTTCACATTAATCTGCATCTCAGTGCAACAAGAAACAATGCAGTGAGACAGCCGTGTAAAGCTTCATGAGTAGCAGAATGGCTCACGCCATTTCTGTGAACGAAGGACAAAAGTAGCATATAAAACTGAACTCGCAAAGGCCATCTTGAGTCACCTCTGCTGCAGAAAACCACAGCATGAATGAGAGGGGAGAGCAGACGCTCTCTGTAGTTTGACCTTGGAAAATAGCAAAGTTTGATTTATTCCAGCGTCGCTCTCTTCTGTGAATAAGTTGAGATTGTTTTGCAGCAATGATGTGAGCTGGAGGTCTTGGCATGACATGCGGGCGTAGCTGTAGATGGCACAGTTAATGACACAAAGGTCCTTAGAGCATTCGCTCTAATGGAGCACTTACAGAGCACTAAAGGGGATAAAGTGGCCACACAGAACACAGCAAGCTTTCACTGGCCTCTTCTGCCTACTTTCCATTTTCTTTTGTTTGGCAAACAAAAACAGAAATGGAGGATGTAATGCAGCATTGTGGGCACACCACACACCCCCAGCACACACACACACACACACACACACACACACACACACACACACACACACACACACACACACACACACACACACACACACACACACACACACACACACACACACACACACACACACACACACACACACGTTGGCTGGTTCAGCCAAAAACAACATCAAGAATGTTGTGTCCCTTTTAAGTTTCCATTATGAGCTCACAGCTACAGTAGGTCTGCACATGGAGTTAGACTATCTCATGCGAGGGTTTGGAAATAGGATCTCGTGGGGGTGAAAACTGCTGCTGGAACTGGAGAGAATTCCTGAGACTCTTGAGCTGAGCTGTAGGTAAGACTACAATACCTGAAAGCAGGCTCAGCGGAGCTGGATTTGCCCAGGTACTCCTTTGCTAAAGCATTAGTGAGTCACAAGGCCCACTGCTTTGAGCTTACGGGCTCTTGAATGATCCTCAGTCTAACAGTGAAACAGTCTGACCACAAAGCTCACATGTACTGGAACACATAGATATACATGTTATAGGTTCAGTCATTAGGCTAAGGCTAACACCGTGTGTCTGGTGCCTGCTAAAGCCGTGGGTCAACCCTAACAACGTAACACCAGGCAGAAGAAAACCAGAGATGGAGAAGGAGGGGGGAAAGCAAAAGGAGCGGGAAGAATCAAAGTTTTCTTACATCTATGTAGTTTGCATTGACATAATCAGAGCTGGGGTCTGCAAGCAGAGAGTGGAGCTTGACACGATGTCGATCATCTAGGATGGAAAAACAGAGCAATTAGTTATTAAGAAAATTCTGAAATTTGGTGATTTGTTTCAAAAGCTGTATAATTAGTGTTCAGCCTGATTTTGTGTTAACCTAAAACCTGAAACCACTGTTATTTACAGGAACTGGATAGAAATAAATATTAGTGAAGCTGCACCATGAACTTGCAAAAAAATAACGTATTGGAAAAAAAAGTCTTAATAAAAAAAGAGCGACAAGTCCTGCTTAGACTCACTCACACAATCAGGGTCTTTTTTAAACATCAAATTACTAATTACAGCTTTATATCTAGGAATTATTAGGATTTTGCGACTAAGTAATGAGATATTAACTACATGAAGAAACAAGAGTCGGCAACTCAAAAAATTTATCTGAAGTGTATTTGTAGTTTGTACTCAGGAAAACAAGCCATTTGTTTAGATGAAGAGGGCGGGACTTGTAGTGTGTACTGCAGCCAGCCACTAGGAGGCGTTTAGGTTAGTTTTAGCTTAAACCTCCATGTTGCACCCCCTTCTCATCTTTATATGAATCAACTTGTTGAATGCAAACATGGAAGAAACCTGAACAGAACAAATGAAAAAGGCTGACCATGAACAAAAAACTGCAAGTAGTAAAAAACATTTATATTATTTAATTATATATCAGTATCACAGTAATAAAGTGCTTGCCACCAGTAGATCCTTCACTAAAGTGCAGAAGACATGTATTGATCTGGATACAGCAGATTATTGATGAAGGTACTAATCCTAACACTCCAACTGAATGCTTTAGGGTCAGAATAGATTGATGCCGGTTTGCTACAATAATCCACAAGGGGTTAAAAATAATGAGAGAGTCTGTCAACATATGCTGAAGGAACATGCAAAAGTCTGAAAACTCATCCTGAGAAATTGTGGCATAAAAGGTGGTTTGTCAAAGGCCACTGCAGAGCTTTAATCTTTTTTTTCCACACTAATCAAAATGGAAGCCCAAATATATTTTCAAAGAAATATTTGATCCAAAAATTGCCGCATCATAGTGGATTGTTGAATTATTAAAGAACTAAACCTTCAAAAACAACCATTGCTGGTACATCATTTAAAAGTACTTTTTAATAAATATACAAGAGAAGTGTAGCTTCTGGTATGATGCCTTTTGAATGTCTGATGTGTACTTCAGTCTCTTTCATAAGATCACATCTGATTAAAGCTGCAATAGCAAACATACAGAACAAGCTAGGTTTCGAACTGGTAAACCACATTGCCAGAGGAAACGGGAGAGTGCTAAACACCAGTTGCTCTTTTCTAGGTGTAATCGTCTTTTGTTGTCCATGACTTAAAACAATGTTTTTCTTTTTGGGACTCTGGTAGTTTGTACTAAATTTGAAGCAGTAGCATCCAGCTGTTTCTTCTTCTCTGGTATTATTGAGCTGCAAACATCTGCACCATTTTTAAAGCCATTTTAAAAGTGGACGTTTTTGTCCTCTAATGGCGCAAGTGTATAGTAAATTTTAAATCTGTTGCTATGTAAAAACTATAAATGTAAAAATTTCAAAATTTTAGATATTTCATAACATAATCAAGACTGATTTGTACTAAACACCCCCAGGCAAAAAATGTATTTTTTAGAAAATAACTCGGTTTTTGTGTTGTTTTCATAAATTACAGCATTGACTTTGAGTATTCAAACTGGCATTTCAAGGGTTAAAAGCCTCAAAATGATTGAATTTGTTTATGGTTGAGCAGGGCTGAAGTTGTTCAACAGATCTATGAAAAAAAGCAAAACAAATATGAATGTACACATGTTTTATGGCCACTTTTACAAGCGGACGTTTTTGTCCTCTAATGACTCTTTAGGATGAAATGTAAAGTGAAGCTTGAGGGTTAAAAATAAACACTTCCAAATGCCTTAATGGCAACCCACCATGATCACTCTGATCTCTGCTTCCCCCTCACCTGTTGCACCAAACAGGCTTGTGATGCATTATTTGCTGATTGAGTTGATCATAAAATAGCAGTCATGATGCTACTTGTATCATGAACCATATTCAATGGAAAAATTGGATCAATTTAAATTGGTTTCAAGCAGGTAATTTCTAATAATGCCTGAGGAAGGTAAACTGTTGTTTACAAAGAATCCTTTGGTAGATTGTTTTCTTTGCTTTCTCATATTATGACATCATTATGATTTATTTTTACCGACTCTAAGTATATGTAAACCTTTAGGACCGAATACAAAGGTTTGCTGCATCTTGTGATAACTCTGACTGGTCAAACTCCAGTGTCATGTCCGACTCTTCCACTGGTGACAAGTGACGGTACGCTTGTATTTTGTTTTTGCTTTAAAGACCCGAAGTTGAGGAAGACGCTGCAGCCAGGTGCTATCGTGGTGAAATTGTGTTCACAGAAAATACCGAGATGAAGGAAAACGATGTGAACGTGTTTCTGCTCTGAGTGAAGATTAGCTGCTGTCACTATAGGTGCTAAGTGGATGTTTTATTCCTGGACTACTTTTGTGTTCCTTCAGGATGTGGTTGCCTAGCAATACCTTTACCTTTCACCCATGCCAGCTAATTAAGAAGGCTGCAGTGGGCACAGTGCCACTGCTGGTAGTTGTAATGAGCAAAGGGCTACAACATAATATAAAAGTCTCTTTCTCCTTTCTGTGATGCTTTCTTAAAGAAGAAAACTATTAAATGGAGGGTTAACTAGAACAGAACTCTGACCCCGGCTGCACACTGGAAGCTTCGGCCGTGGGGACGGGTTACTCGCGACAATCACTGCACTCCAGTTCACATCGGGGGGTGGGGGGTGGGTGGCGGGGGGGTCTCAGCAGCGAAGTGGCTTCTCTGCCGTGCTCCTCATTCAACTTGTGACATCACAAAATCCCTTGAGACTTCAAAGGTTACGGTTTGTTTATGCAATCAGCCATTGACACCCCCCCCCCCCCCCCCCAAAAAAAAAGGGACATCACGTTATCGCTGTTTGATATATGTTTCTCTCCACTGCCAGGATTAGAGCCAATGAAAACACACCGCTGTGCTTCTGGAACGACACAAGGAGTAAATAAGTCGATGGGTCACATGTAAGCTTCATTTACATGAAATTGCATTGCTGCTGTGCTTTTATTTAGAAAGTTACCAGGAAATAACACACGGAAACCGTGTATAGCCCTATGTTAACTGCAGAAATTGACGTGCCCCAGAAGCGGCTCGCAGAAAAAATGGAACCCGGTCCGAGCTTTAGCTTGTTGGATGAGAACTGCAGCGTCGCGGCTGGTTTGTGACACTCCACAGGCTGTGATGGATTCTATTTGAAGCGGTGACATTCCGCTGCCATTCCGTGCCGCTGATGCTTCCAGTGTGTAGTAGGGGTCAGCGAACAGAACAGCACACCAGAAAAAGGTAAGTCAAATATAACACCTTTTGATTTTGTAAGTAAACAATATCTAAAGTTTTTTGTGCATCAACCAATCAGGATCTGCCCCTTCTCCCCCTGACGCGGTATCCTGTTTCCCCTTGTTATCCCACCCACCTGATTCCTGATCACCCTCATGTATTTAAACCTTCTGTCCATGCTCCGTCTCTTCTTCCTGCTGCATCAGCCGACCCATAATCATTCATCATGAACAGTCAGCTTCCTGCTCACCTGCATTCTGGTTCAGCTGTAACGTGACCACAGAGGATTGCTCTTCACAGATCAGTGTTCCTGTGAATGTAGTTGCTAGTATTGCACAAATGTTTATGGTAAAAACTGATAGTTTCTGAAGACTACCCTGAGCTGAGCAACGCTTCAGTAACTGGTACCAGTTATCTAAAATCTGTGTGTGTTCTGTAACGATGACAGAAACACTGGCATGACTGGAGAAGACCAACATCAGGCTCTGATTTATGTAGCGTGATCCTGGTTGGTGAACAGAAACAACATGAACTGTTGAACCGTAAATCTGAAGAAATGGGGGCAAAATTTCAGCTTCAAAAAAACTTTTATGTTGCCTCTCTAAAATTCTTGTTAAACGATCAATTTTATTAACTCAAACCTTGATTAAAAATGTGCTTTATCGTGTTTACTTCATCTTCTAAACGACCAAGAGAGAAAAGCTGTCGGGAAACTTTGGGTAATTTGGGACAAACGTCTCCATTAAATGAGTAAAATGTTACGGGGAACCGACACGGTCTGGTATGGAGGCAGGAGAAACCAGCTCTGACACTTCCTCCTTGTAAGCTGCTGTTCAAGCACGCATGAATACTCACGGCTGAGCAAGCTGTCATGTCTCCCTTTGGTTTTGTCTTTCTTTTTTGTGACATCCCAGCCATCGAAAAAACTCTGCAAAATCAGAAAGTACAAGTTCAGTTACATCCCAAGGAAAGCTGCTTCCAGCTCCACTTTCAGACATCAGCACCAGCGTCATCCTGAATACTCGTTCTCCATAACGACCTTAAGACCTCTTCTGCCAGAGTTGCATCCTATTATATCTTTAGAGAGAAAGGAAACAACATGACGGCGACTCTCTTGCACTTTGAAAGTCACAATCAGGAAGCTTTTGCTAATGTGCTCCAAACTGTTACCCAGAGGTCTGATAAGCTCCAGCGTTACAGAACCCTGCCAAGTCATCAACTAGCATCTGCCACAACACGGAGCTGAGAGGCGAGGCTGTGAGATGACTCGCTGCACTCGTTCTCATTCTACATGCAGCGCCGACCGAAGAAGCCGTTGCTGAGGAATACCGCGGTGGTAAACTGTCGAGTCTGTGACAGCTGTTTACAGTATGACACATTTACACCAAATCTGCTGCTGCAGGATGAGTCTGTGGGTTTAAATCGATACGAGGAGAGTGACAAGAGAAAAAGCTGTTACAGCTTGGCTCATTGATGGGCTGGGTTTGACTGCTGTACCAGTAGTACCAGGGTCGGATAGATGAAGACTTTGCAGTGATTACCTGAAGGAAATTCCTTTCCTATAGGGACCTTTACATGGAGAAATGGCTTTAATAGGTGACTGATGAGCTAACGACTAGTCCAAGTGCTGCAAGTATAACAGTGTGATATTTTATCAGCTTTTACCCGACCTTGCCACTGGAGACATAAGCAGCGTGGTGTAATAGCTGCAATTTCCTCAACAGCTCACTACTTTTCTGTGGCAGACTGGCAGCGTTGCACATTTGATCCCACAAGATTTTCAAAAAAACCTTAGAGTTGCAAGACCACGCGTGGTTTTGGAAGTCTGCGTGTCAGCATGCAGTGAAAGATGGCAGTACGAGTCTAAAAAGGTCTGCAGTTAATTTCTCTGTTCTGTTTACTGCTACTATGAAGGTTTCATTGGTGATGATGTCCTTTTTATTTACTAGTCAAGCAAGTGGAAATCTGATCTTTTATTTTGAAAGTTTCTAGACGTTTTACACTGCTTTTGTGTTTGACTTCCTGTCTGACCTGATCTGATCTGCTGACGCATTTTGGAAGCAAAGTGAGTAAAGATTTAGCAGAAGGATACAACACTACACTTCTGTAGCGCGTCCACAACGTGATGCTTCGTAGCCCGTGGAAACACACCCATGTACTACAACCGTGTTTAATTACTGCGTAATACACTTAGCAGACGTTACGAGAAGCCTGGTCACATGACCACCAGTTCTGCAGCATTATTATTCCTGCCACCTGCCCAAAACATCTGTAGAGCTCCATATAAATAACTGCATGATGTGAAACTGACAACAAACATTTAAAAAATAACGTCACTACGAATTAGTCTTTGCTCCTGCCAAACCAGCTCTTAGTCTACAAAAGACGCTGTTTACAAAAAGAAAGCCAATTATTTCTATTTGTTTTTTAATTGCTTCCAGGCTCGATGTCTTCTTGAGCTAAGTGTTTGGATGTGTTGCTCCAGTCCACACGTCCTTCAGGAATAACCGGAGCCACCACTACACCTGGTAATCCCACGGATGTTGCTAAAGGCTGCTTTCATGCTGGCATTCTGACCTGCAGCATTCTACTCCTGCAGCTGTGCATGTGTGTCGTGTAAAATAATCAGAGCCTCGTCTGAGTGAAATGCAAGAAAAGCCTGTCATCATGCCTGGAGCTCGTTTAAGGGCATGGCGTGAGAGTGACAGCAGCAACAATAGCAGCACAAACACACGGTGAAACATTTAAAAGATGGTCGTCAAAGACCACGGTGCAGCTCGATATCTTCAGTGTCCATCAGCACCAGGGCTGAAAAATACATGAGAAACGGTTGCGATATTGTAAGATCAATAATAATCATTTCAATATTGTGAATGAATCTAATCAATTACAGACTAAAACTGAACAGGGTGCATGTAAGATAATTAGGTGAACAACCCCTTCCTAAAACACCCACAACCTGTGCATGGAGAGTTTTCAGTGATCTCATCACATGGTTACCTGATGTGCAGCTTTAACCAGAATTAAGCAACATGAGGGAGTTGGTTTCTGGAACTAAACTCTGTCGCTGCTGGATCAGGAAGTACAAGTTTCTCTGAGGACTGGGAGGCAGAAAATGTCTTACTCATCAGTGTTGTTCGTGATATTCAAACATCTCGCCTGTGATTGGCTAGTCTAGTCTCTAATTGGAGGAAAGCCTTGAGGAGTTCTGCTGTGTGGTGGGGTTGCTAATGCTAACTGTTAGCTTCTATCAGCTGAGATTAGGGATGGGTACCTTTGACATTTGAATCGATCCGGTACTAATTCCCGGTACCTACGAATCGATACCGGTACTTAACGGTACCAATTTTCGATACTTTTGAGTGTTTAATATTTTAATTATCTTGTATAATTAAATATATATTTTTCCCAATATATAATCATATTTGATAAATATCACGATAAATAACATACAACTGTTTGTATTTTAACATCGTCCTTGTAGTTTTATAAGCTGATAATTAAACTGAAGCAAACATCTTTACTGTGAACTAAATTTACTGTGTATCTTCATTCCTTTTGCCGTCTTTTTCATTTGATTTTTCCTACTGGGAAGTTAGAATTTCCGAGGAGAAAGCGAACGCACCATTAGCTGATAACAACGGTGGCAACGGAAGCTAACATATCAAGCTAACATTATCTTTAACAGCTTATTTAACTGCTGGAGCAGATTAAAACGATGATACCTCACACTTAGATCGTTGTTGCTGGTTTCTTCTTCACCCAATCACCCGTCGCATTTAGTAAAGTGAAGCCAAACTTTAGAGCGCGTTCATGTTTTTCTAGTCGGAAATTCGGAGTCCCGAGGAGAAAGCGAACGCATTAGCGAAACGGAAGCTAACATATCAAGCTAACATTATCTTAAACATTTCATTTACCTACCGGAGCAGATTAAGATGAGGATGTCTCACTTAGATCGTTGTCTGTCGCTGGTTTCATCTTGACCCAGTTACTCATCACATTTAGTGAAGTGGACCCAAGCGTTAGCGTGCGTTCTTTCTACCATGCTGCTCTGTTTACAACTCGCTCGCAGCGACCGACGACATAACGCTCTTGCGCATACGCAGCTGTCTTGGCAAGTTCTCCTTATGAAGGACGGGTACCGAAACAAGGCACCGTTTGAAATGACGTGAATCGGTGCTCGGTCGGTACTATGGAATTCGGTCAGTACCTTAAAAAGTACCGAATTCGGTACCCATCCCTAGCTGAGATATGCTCTGTTTTCTCCTTGATGCTAAACCAACAACTGCCTTCCCTGTCACGAGTCAGGATGGGTGAGTCCATGAATGTTAATTTTCAGTGTGACATAGATTTGAGTGACTTTTCTGAACCAAGTGTTTCTAGGTCTATTTTCTGTCATTGGCTAATACAGGAAATAGGGATAGAAGACTATCTTCACATTTAGCCTGCATGCAAAACTCAGGGTGACCGAGTTTCTCAAATACCAATTAAAAAACAACTTCTCAGTGAACTTGGTCTTTAAACTCCTTGAAAAGACTCTTCGGTTGCTTCTCGATATTTACGCGTGCTGGAGTGATCAGAGTTTTGGCTTCAGAAACAATAACAGTTAGTCAGGGAGTACGGCAAGCAAAAATAATAAATCCTGTCAGGTTAATGAAAATTGTAGAGAGGCACAGCTTTAATTACCATTACTTTTGATTTATTGAGCAAAAACATCCATTTTTCTAAAACTAACTGTTTGGGGTCAAAATGATGAGAATTGTAAAACTTCTCTCGTTGATGGTGACACATATTTTATAATTCAGCAGCTCTACCTCTAACAATACACGTACTGAGGGCATGACTCCTGCACACACCCCCACAATGCCTTCCAATGAATCTGATCAATGGCAGCGCTAGCCCGCCCCTGTGGGAAATAAGGGTTATGAAGTCTGACAGCAGAGTGCACGCTGATCCCCTTCATCTTGTTTATTTCTCCAGGCAACGGAAAGCCAGAGTGCGGAGTGAAAAAGCGACCCATATATTGATTTTGGTAGGGAGAAATTTGTTGGGCCCTCAGGGGACGGCTTAATGAATCGAAAAAGTGCATCAGACTTCCAGCAGGTAGAGGTGTGAAAAAGACTTATCACAGCTGTTTGATCCGAACGTCTTCTGACTTTGGAGGGTGCAGTTAGTGCACGTGACATGAAATAATCTAATCCATCAGAAATGACTCATGTAAATGAAACTAAACTTCATTTTACAGAATGATGATAAAGGGTAAAAATCCCCCAAAAAGTGGACAGCAGTGGTCCACGTTACTACAGACATGTGGATCACCGAGACGTCGCTTCCAGTTCGTTTCTCTTTTGCCTTAAAAGTAGAGGAAGAGAATCCTTGAAGCGAGACTTTGTGGGTCTGAGGCTTTCTCGCAGCATCCCGAGCGTTTCTGTGCAAATTCTTCATCAACAAACCCGCGAGCTTCTACTTTCAAGGGCCTAGCCTTGTGTGCTTTGTGAGCAGATGATGAAACAAATTACACATAACAGCTTTAAAATTTAGATCAATACAAATTCATATTCCATTTATTTATGAAAAGGCCCCACTCCACCACTTTCTCATGCAGAGGTTTGTGAGGCTCAGTGTTTATCGGGAGCGTTTAGGACTCACCAAGGATGAGGTATTATGGGTGAGTGCCACATTACGGCCCTCATTCATCCAGTCATCGCTCAGTTTTCTATAGCCAGCTGTACCTATTCAGGGCTGCAGAGGGCGCTGGTGCCTGTTCGTGGGTGACATGTGGGGTACACCTTGAACAGGTTACCAGGAAATCACAGAACTAAATGTTTTCTGGTAAGTGGCTGGTGGCCGTGCCTTTTGTTTGTTTGTCTAGCCGGGAAAAGTCCAACTACAGCAGACACCATCACTCTGGAAGCTCTGCTCACAAGAACTAGTGAACTGTAGATCAGTGGTAACACACGCCTGCATGCTCCAGAGCACTAAACTACAAAAACATCTGCTTTTATTGTGTTTTTTCATCTCTTCATGAATGCATTTGATGAGCAGCACTCGAGCTGCTTTGTTCATTTCCACGCAGGTAGAGAATGCAATTTCATTTTTCCCACACCGATTCTGCATTTACAGTAACAAACGGTTTAAAACACCAAGTTATTCATTTACAAGTGGGTTTTAGTGATTGTGTAGGTAGAAACTTGACCAGCAGGGCAAGCCAGTAGGACAGAGCAGCAGAGAAACGTGTTACTTCAGTAAATCTCTAGTTGTTCATCTGGGGTTCCAGTCCCAGCAGCTGTATGCATCTACCCACGTCAGCATTGGACAGTTTTCAGCTTCCTATCTTGTGCTGGTACCTCGTACTCCTGCTTGAAGCCGTACCCCTCGGACGTCTTCATCTGGTTGATGTGCTGGAGGAGATCAGCCACCCTTACGGCGGGGTGGAGCTGGCCCGTGTGATAAGGCGAGCTCTTCCTGCGACAGTGACGCTGGGGCGAGCCTCCCAGTAAGCTGCTGGACTCATTGACGGAGCTGCGCTGCTCGTCTGGGAACACAAACACAAGCAAACCGCTGATGCAATGGCTTTTTTTAGTCATGCAAATATGTTCTGAGGGCAGCTCGTGTTTTTGCAGGAATGTGAGTGCTGACTGGCGCTGCGGAATATTCAGACAGACAAGAGACTCGTCTGCTGAGAGCACCTTGAGTTCTGGCAGAACAGACTGCATGCACGCTTGGAAGTAAACACGGCTGAAGGTCGGGAAGGAGGGGACCGCTCTCTCTCCAGACATTTTCTCAACAGTACCCATATGTTCCTAACCGTCTTACTTCGAGCGTTGCAGCCGTGGGTGTCCATAAAAGAGTGGGCCATCCTCTCATCCTGCTGGAGAGTGCTCTGCTCCGTCATGCTGCAGTCCAACGAGCTCAGCTTCCGACTCTTCTCCTGCCTGTAGGACATAGCTGCCTTGTTCATGGCCACCTTCTTCTTGCTGTAGAGATGCAGGCAGAGGCAGGAGGACAGAGAGCAGTAACAGACAGAGGCCAGCAGAGAAGGGACAGAGTGAGCGCAAGACAGGCAAAAGAGATAAGGGAGAAAGAAAGGTGGAGGGTGGGTGAGGAGATGAGAAATTGTAGTGAGGGGGGAGATAAATAAGGGGGAGGAAAGATTGAAACTGTACAACGAGAGAAAGTGAGATCTGGTGATAGTGGGAGACTGTTGGTGGGATTGGAATACGGAGAGGGAAGAGAGGGGGGAGGGGGGGGCTGTAGTGTACGATGGGGCAGGATGGAGGGGGAGTAGCAATGCTTACTCCACTCCTGGGGCTACAAAAGAGCAAGCAGGGACGGGGATGGTGAGCAGGGGGAGAGAGAAGTAACTTACGGGTAGTAAGGGTAAGAATAGAAGTCTCTTCTGATTAGCATGAAGGAGGAGGAGAGGAGAGAGGCAGAGTGAGAAGAGAAGAAGAAAAGTGACTATGATTGGGCATCCGAACGATAAATGAAGAATGTGTTGGAATGTTCTCAGCCTGGAATTATGGTTCAAGCTATTACACATGATGATAAAGACCCCCGTCACATCAGCCGTCACATCCAGGCCCTGAAACCATTCCAGGGAATCGGTTTTCAACCAGAATTTACATTCATCACATCGATGGGTGGGATCCACACGGAGACTTGGGTAGGAAATACTTTAGTTAGAGAAAATAATCGGACATAAAATCGATCTGCTTCAACAGCAATATTCATCACTGACATGTGTGGACCAGTCTCACAGGTAAAGCTTTGGGTTAGCAGATGTGGTCGTTTATCACCAGACAGAAACTCTGAATGTTTTAATTAAAAATAATAAACAGAAAGTAAGAAACAAATAAATAAATTTAGATTAACTGAATTGAAATAAATTGAACTAAAGAAAAAAATTGTTTTGTTCTCATTGTTTTTTTAAAAAGTTGCATGCAACACGTGCCTATTAGCCAACAGTAAACTATTCTTGGTTCTGTAAGGACTGGAGGCAGTTTCATGTTTTTTTCTGTTAATTGAAGCTCATCTGACTGATTTTCTAGCATCTATTTTAGCACTGACTGCAACTTTCCTCGTCAGAAATCTGAGGAGTGACGGCGAAGTCTCAACATTACCGAGTGTAAATTTGACAGAGAAATTATAACTTCATTTTCACTCATTTACCACCTGCTGGCTGCTCATTACCTCCCATTAGTGTACCTGTCGACGAGTCTAATTCTACAAGAGAATAACGCTCATGAAAGTGTGCGGCTTTTCAAAGAACGCCCCGGCCTTTTAGAACCCGCTGAACTCTCACAAGTCTTTAGAAATGTTGGTTTCAAACCTTTTGCATGCATTTTTTAAATGAAAAAATAAATGTAAGGTTTATTTATTTATTGCTCTCAGGAGTGCAGTGCCCCCTATTAGTGGGTTGTGGAGCAGCAAGGTGCAGCTGCTGTGCTGCTTGCTGATGATGGCTAGAAGTGAAATGGCATTAACCAGCTTTTTAAAACAGTAAACACCATAAGAGGGTCAGAGAATGCCCATGGCACCATACAGGCTAGGACCGCCCCTGGCAATAAGACAAAGATGGGCATAGTTTTGGACAACCAGATAATTTGTAGATTTCACTGTAGCATTAATGTGTTCTCAAATGTATAAGGGAGGAAGTGTCTAGGCAAGGCTTCCTGCAGCTGCCACTGGGTGTAAACATAACTTCAGTTTTCTGTTTGAAGGGAAAATTGGAAGCTTCCAATTCCTGATGTCAAGGAGCGGCTGGAATGAGCATGAGTCAGTAAGCTTCTGGGGGAGGTATATCTGACATTAAATAGGAAGGACATGTAACCCAGCAGCTGTAGGTACTAAAAGAACAGAAGGTGTCTTAGAATGGAACCCTGAGGAACCCCTACAGAATAGCTGCAGAGGTGCAGAATGATCAGAAACATCTAACTTCACCCACCTGAGGTTTTGTGATGGGAGATGGTCACAGGCTGAGTTGTAGCAGTGTACAAGAGGCCGACATAAGCATTTGTTCTATACTGGCCATCGGCCGAAATTGTTCTTAAAAGTCGATTAAAAATAAATAAAAACCAGGCGCCCGTGTGGCCAACTGCCGCCACTACTAGACTGAAGAAAGGACCCGAAGGACCTCGACACACAGTTTTTTTAATGTTTTGAGTTTGTTTTACATTTGAAGTTTAATACATTTTAAGATATTTATTGACTTATTTAATTTTTATTGCAGACAGTGAGTGTTCGGTTGTCTTTCACAATCAATGTGCTGCTAAAACGTGTGTGTGTGTGTGTGTGTGTGTGTGTGTGTGTGTGTGTATATATATATATATATATATATATATATATATATATATATATATGTGTGTGTGTGTGTGTGTGTGTGTATGCCAACGGCAACAAAATTCTTTAAAAATCAGTGTCGGCCTTAAAAAAATACATATCGGTCGGCCTCTGCTGTGTATGTAGAAAAGGGCTTTGAGAAACAACTTTAAAAAAAATTGATGTGATGCTTGTAGCCTTTATTTGAGTAGGAATCTTAGATTCATTCACTGATTATAGAACCCTAACGTATACACTGACTAGGATTGATACCTTTGACACTTGGATCAATACAATATCAATTCCCGTTACCTATGAATCGAAACCGGTACTTAACTGTACCAAATTTTGATCCTTTTAAGTGTTTAATAATTATTTAAATCACTTACTAAATTAAATATACAGGGAGTGCAGAATTATTAGGCAAGTTGTATTTTTGAGGAATAATTGTATTACTGAACAACAACCATGTTCTCAATGAACCCAAAAAACTCATTAATATCAAAGCTGAATGTTTTTGGAAGTAGTTTTTAGTTTGTTTTTAGTTTTAGCTATTTGAGGGGGATATCTGTGTGTGCAGGTGACTATTACTGTGCATAATTATTAGGCAGTTTAACAAAAAACAAATATATACCCATTTCAATTATTTATTTTTACCAGTGAAACCAACATACCATCTCCACATTCCCAAATATACATTTCTGACATTCAAAAACAATACAAAAACTAATCAGCGACCAGTATAGCCACCTTTCTTTGCAAGGACACTCAAAAGCCACTATTTTTGACCTTTCTGAGCCTGTCAAGTCCTTCTTTTGACCCATTTTGCCAAAGGAAAGGAAGTTGCCTAATAATTATGCACACCTGATATAGGGTGTTGATGTCATTAGACCACACCCATAGGCGTCATTTTAACCGGGGACGCCGGGGACATGTCCCCGGCAAAATTTGTGATTGGCAGCTGTGTCCCCCCACTTTCAAAAAAGCCTGCTGATGAGGATTTTTGTTTTACCAGCTCAGATCTTATCCTGGGGTCGGCAACCTGTTCACATCAAAGAGCCATTATTACCCGTTTCCCACAGTAAAGAAAACACCGCAGCAGCCGCGGCGTTGTGGGCGGGGCCTACCCTCAGACAGCAGAGAGCTGCTCACAACCAAGTGACAGCAGCCGGTACCGGTCGCTCGCATGGGCGTCGCACCCGTGGGGGATTCCACACCCACACTTTTCCAGCTGTTTTGCTCACCTCCACACTAGTCTGGTTTCTTTACGTCACACTCTCTCTGTTTGCCTCATCTCCTTCTTCACCTCCACTTCTGACAGCCGATGTCGGGTTTCCAGGAGAGCAGGAGAGGGAGGGACGGAAGAGCTCGACTGAATTCATAATTTTACATCTTGACATTAGCTGTACAAAGTCTGAGTTTGATAAAGTGAAGAACACCAATTTGCAGAGGTTTATAACTGGCGCGGCGCCAGGTTTTCATTTTTGGGTGGACCACGGTAATTTTGGACGGACCTTAATAAGCAGTGACTTGAAGCAGGCAGGTCGCGCTAGAAAATGTCGTTTAAAAATACGTCATAAATGTGTTCCCCCGTCATTTTAATTTCTAAAATATGAAGAAAAACTCACAATTTAATTTTCATTCATTTGTCATTAATATGTAGTCTACACCCGTGCGTTAAGTGGACCATCTTCCAGTAAAAGCAAAGCATCCAGCCCATCTCTCCAAATGCGTAAAATGTGCATCAGCCGCTAGTTAGGCGTGCCGCGCGCACCATCAGCTGATCAGCCCAGACAAGAGCAGAGCAAACAGAGAAAGAATAGAGGATAATTGTGTCTGGATGTGGATGGAGATTACATTTTACAGCAGCCTGATCATCATTTAAATAAAACCATCACCTGTCTTCTAGTCCACGCTATCAGCATTATTTTAATTGGTGTGTGTGTGTGTGTGTGTGTGTGTGTGTGTGTGTGTGTGTGTGTGTGTGTGTGTGTGTTTTCCACTTCAAACACTGGTCTAACCAACCAGACCAGCGTGTCCAGTAACACATTAATGTTACAATTAAACAGTTTCACTTCATGTAGGCTAGGAACGTTTCACCTGCCGTGGCCCGACCGCTTCTGCTCCACATAAACTTTGTGCGTGATCAAATGTCTCTACAGGTGCTTTCTGAGCTGCTATCCTGCCTCAGACTGGATGCGCCATGCGTCTCCATATTATAGACGGGAAAAAGCGCTGTTCAGCCAAAGTTTCATAATTTCATAAAAAGAACATTTTTCCAAGCTCATCCATGCGCATCAGTGTGCGTCGGGGTAATTCTTTCAAAACAGCCAGCATCCTTGAGTTTATCCATCAAAATACAGTCAAATGGAAATATCTGTAAGCTGCCTTTTAACTGTTTTGCCTTCTTGTGAAGATTGTTGCAAAGAGAAACAAACTTGATTAACCCCAGAGCCACGCGCACTGCGCTGTACGTCGTGACTGTAAATGAGGGGAAACGATTTAATCGGATCCTTTTCTTTTCAACATGGTTTAATGTAAAGTTTCATTCAGTACAAACTTTAGTTACACCCATCTAACGAGACAGAGTCTGGATTTGTATTCTGAACAGTTTAAACATGTTTAAAATGGAGATGTGAGTGACGCGTCTAAAATTCGCACCTGCTCCGCTATTATGGAAATTAAACTAACAAGATGAATAAAATCAAATTATTTTAGGCACAGACAACATCCCCCACACTTTTGAAAATCTTGCAACGCGCCTGGTCGCTCGTGTACGTCAAAGTTATCTTTCGTAAGATGATAATCAATAAAACGATTTATATAAAGTGGATCCAGAAGTTGTAGCCTGTCTCTGCCTACAATATTTAGATATTTTTCACCCTGTTGGTGGTTTTACTGAGCAGGTGCCACTGTTGTCATACGTTTCTTTTAAAAACATGTTTAGACTGTTCAGAATACAAATCCAGGCTCTCAGAACCAGAGCGCATGTGAGAAGGTTCCTCCCACTGAAGCGAGTGTTTTCCAAACCCGGTCTCTCAGAGAGATTTGTCACTTAGAAAATGTTCCCTGATTATGAAACTTTGGCTGAATAGCGCTTGTTCCTGTCTCCAATGTGGCGACGCATCCAGGAGCCGTCTGAGGAGAATCCCAGAATCTCACATCCTCCAGCTCAGGAAGCGCATATGATTACGCACAAGCGTGACGCGTACCGGGTTGGACCTGTTCAGGTTTACGCAGATAATCTTTACATTTAGAATTGGCATACAGATGTAAAATTAATGCAGTAAAATATAAAGCTTTTTATTTAAATATCAATTCATTATTTTACAAGCACAGAGAGCCGCATCAGATGGATGGAAGAGCCGCATGCAGCTACAGAGCCGCCGGCCCCTGTGCTAGCCTACTTTATTGTCCCCAGCAATTTTTAAACCCCACTCAAGTGTATGGTTATTGTCCCCAGCAATCCTGAAAACAAACTGACGCCCTTGACCACACCCCTTCTCATTACAGAGATGCACATCACCTAATATGCTTAATTGGTAGTAGGCCTTCGAGCCTATACAGCTTGGAGTAAGACAACATGCATGAAGAGGATGATGTGGACAAAATACTCATTTGCCTAGTAATTCTGCACTCCCTGTATATTATTTTCCTAATATATAACCATATTTGATAAATATCATGATAACATAAAACAGTTTGTATTTTATCATCTTAGTGTTGTACAAAATTCTTCAACATGAAAACCTTTAACAACAATTGTTCCTAAATGACGTAAAAACAAACCCAGCTCCATGTACTCCTAATTCTCTTCTATGCCCTCTGGAATAACTCTGATGAGGAGACCATGTATTATAAACTACAAATGAAACTAAAACAAACTTCGATACCATACAACAGTTTGTATTTTAATACTGTGGTGTTTCACAAACTAAACCCAGCTCCGTGTACTCCTTTTGCTCTCCTTTCTCCTCTGGACCAACTGTGTGAGGGCGGGTCTTCGTAGTTTCATAAACTAAAAATTACACTGAAGCAAACATCTCCGCTGTGAACTAAATTTACTGTGTGTCTGTTTTCCTTTTGCCATTCAGTTTTAAAACTGTTTATTTTTCCTACTAGGAAGATGGAATTTCCGAGGACCAAGCGGACGCACCATTAGCTCTGTAAACAAAAACTAAACTATCAAGCTAACGTGATCTTAAATGGTTTTTTTGCTGCTGGAGCAGATTAAGATGCCTCCCACTCAGATCGTTGTCACTGGTTTCATCATCACCCAATAGCCCATCGCATTTAGTGAAGTGAAATCAAACTTTAGAGCGCGTTCTCTTTCTTCTAGTCAGAATTTCGGAGCTACGAGGAGAAAGCAAATGCACCATTAGCTGAACGGAAGCTAACATATCAAGCTAACGTTACCTTAAACATTTTATTTACCTGCCGGAGCAGATTAAGGTGATGATGATGCCTCACCTAGATCATTGTTGATGGTTTCATCATCACCCAGTTACCCATCCCATTCAGTGAAGTGGACCCAAACACTTTAGAGCGCTTCCTCTTTGCCATGCTGCTTTGTTTACAGCTCGCCCAGAGTGACTGACGACATTACGCTCTTGGTACTGAAACAAGGCACTGTTTCATAAGATGTGAATGGGTACTCAGTCGGTATTGTGGAATTCAGTTGGTGCCTTAAAAAGTACCAAATTTGGTGCCCATCCCTAACAGTGACAGTAGCCCTGTGGCTACAAATAAACTAATCTGCTCCTGTTGCGCCAGACAACTTCCCATTGTGCCTCTTAGATTGGCCTAGAGAATCCTATCAGTCACTGCCTCCTTCCAAATCCCACCCATTCAATCTTTTTCCTTTCAATGAGAGAAACTCCTCTGGTGGCAGAGTCTCCCCATCCCACCTCCCAAAAGGAAAGAAAAAGCCAAAACAACCTTTCTAAATAATTACTAGGGCATTTACTGGCACCTTACTGCTGCTCGCCTCATGTAATTGAGTGGGCAATGGAATAACATGCCCCTTGATGAAATTTTTCACACTCAGATGAGTGTTCCACCATCGCCCGGTGAGGGAAGGAGGAGTACACTGCAGGTGCAATCGACTACAGGGGTAATTTGCAAGTGGAAAGCAGCCAACAACTCCCAGAGAGAGCAGCCTGCACGCCAATGTGCTCGGCCGACACGCAGACCTTGAAATTAAAAGATGAAATGAACACAAAAGCTCAGGTAAGTCAATGGTGGAAGAGTTTAGGAGTAATGCTCCCGCATTCCCCTAACTCTAGTTGTAATTTACTCTCATTGGCAGATGTTGTCCTCGGTGGAGCCTAGCTGCCAAGTGGGAAAGAGATGGATCACCTCCTCTGTAGGAGCTGCACCGGAACAAGGAGAGCTGAGACCACAAGTGTTAAAAGGTCTGACCTGCCTCCCTTCTGGCAGCTAACGGGCACAAACAGCCACTCACCCTTTCTTCACAATGATGACGATGGCACCCAGCAGCAGGATGAGGACCACCAGACCTCCAGCGCAGGCTCCCAGGATCAGACCCATGTCCTCGGCATGCTGGGATACTTCCAGCGCTGTCTTAGAGTCTTTACAGGCAGCTGTAGCAGGTGGCAGGTGACAGTAGAAGATTCATGTGAATCGTTCATCACTGCAAATGTTTATTCAGTTGTAAAAGTCCAAATGTTATATTTAAGGAATCAACATCAGCTGATCATTACATTCTACTGAATTCCGATTTTATGCAAAAAATAAAAATACAATTAAACAAAATACGGCATGTAGGGCTCAGACACTTCAAACTTCAGGGTTTTTTAATCTAAATATCTCAATATCCCTGCAAGCATGATGCAGGGTAAGCAATAGGACGGTTTCATTTTACTCATTTTTGTGACAAGCAAACTTGTCCAAACCCATCCTTCCTCTTTCTCCGCCGTGTGCAGAGTGTGGGTTTACTTTGTTATGATGAAAAATACATGGCTGTTCACACGGGCATCACATAATGCTGTAAAATTGTTACTGGACTCTTCTGCGTTATTCCTGCAGTCACACAACGCTGATGGTTTTCGATTCAACACCGACAGCAGTCTGAATGGTCCACTTCCTCATTGATCAAAAGCACGACATCCCTCCAGATTACAGATTAATCTGATTTGCTGTTTTAAATCTTCAAACATATTTTCAAAGGGACAATGTGTAGTTTTTATCATTGATGTCTGGCAACATCCATCAAAATGTTGTTGAAATTGAATGAAATGATGCCCAGTTGTTGACAAATATTGGTGGCTCCTTAACATATAACCATAAAATCAGGTCTAAAATACATGGGAGTGGGTCTAAGTCTCAGGGCGACGCCATATTAGATGCCATGCTTCTTTCTACGGGAGCCCTTGAGGACAAAACAAACGGTTGCAAAACTTTCACTATTTATAAACGTTTTACTCATTTACCTTTTCACTTGTTGCCACTGATGAAAGGGAGCCTGACACGCTTGTCATTTCACTGAAGTTTGCACTCTTTAGGGCTTTTTGACCCTAATGGGCATCCGTTGGTTAGGTCTTAAGCCAGATTTATACTTCTCCGTCTCCGTCGGTGCAGAGACACACAATGCCATTATGCGTCGGCGCAAGGGCTCTCCAACGGGCTCACAGAGGGTAACGGAGACACGCCCAAAATTTTAAACATTTGTGGAATGTGACGGAGACCACAAGCTTGTGATTGGTCAGAACGCCGTTTTCTGTATATTCGTCAACAGCACCGCTGTAGCTCCATTAAAGAGTATACAGATATTTAACGGAAGGACCTGAACAGATTGAAGAACGCATCGCAGAAAAAGTCCAAAAATATTTACATTTATTCACCCATGAGTGAAGGAGTACAACATACGGAGCAAATGTGGATGGAAACAACGGGGCATGTGGGTTTAGAGGTGGCGGCCGCATCAAGAGGTGGATGAGAATGAAGGGCAAATTTGGCCGTGTTATAAAGTCTCTGAAATATATAAACAATACACTATAAATCTGGGACGTAATTTTGGGGGGGGGGACGGGTGGGACATGTCCCCCCCACTTTTTCAAAAGGCAGTTTCGGTCCCCTTCACTTTTCTCCGTCCAAAAACAATGTTACGCTCCATTAAATGGATTTGGTTGAGCACTAGGACCGAAACGGAAACCGGTTTCCTATTAGACCCACCCAAAAGCTAATCTATTGGCTCTGCTGATACTTGCTAACGTATTATTGGCTGTTGCTGCTGTCACTCCAAGTAGTAAACAGAACGTGCTCACGTTGTTTTGCTAGTTTGGAGCCGCTAGGGAACACCGGTACTGAGTCACATCGTCAACTAGACGCTGTGTAATATCAGAGCTCAGCTCAGCTTCCACTACATAACATTTGAATAAGTGTTCATTTGTGAGTCTTTGGTAGTTAGGCACAGCCAGGAGGCAGCATGTCAAGAAAACAAAAAGTGGATATAAGAGACTTCTTTCAAAGTCAAAACGTAAGTTGGAACATGTGACACCCCTGCATTAAGCTCAGACTCACCTCCTCCTTCACACACATACTCAAAACTAACTTTTACAAACTCATCTCCTCCACATAACTGACTCCTCAGACACAATTTATTCGTATTATTATAATTATTATGTTTTTATTATTACTATTATCATCATAATTATTATTACTAGTAGTAGTAGTAGTAGAAGTGTAACTTCAAAACTTTTATCATTTAACTTTATTGTAAACTTATCTATTGCAATGCATATTTTCACATTAAAAAGCTCTGAAAAATGAACAGTATCATCATCGTCAACAGATTTTTTTAAGCTTAATGTCAAAGATGTACTCTTTTCATTAGATTTATCTTATTTTTTCCATTTATTTTTTGTGTGTTGAAATGCAACAACTGTTTAAACACTTTTAAGGGAAAAAACATATTTAATATGTTTTTATACACTCAAATTGGTAATGAATAATTTACACATTATATTAATAATAATTGTGAATCATACTAGAACCATCCTGTAAATATTTCTGTTTGTTCCATTCCAAAATCTCCCACTGTTTATAGTTCATGCATCTTTTTTTCAGGTGACTGACAGAGATGCAGGAGGAGAGACCGGTGAAGGTACAGCAGGAGAGGCTGTAGGAGATGGAGGACGAGAGCCTGGAGGAGATGGAGCAGAGGCTGGAGGCTCACAGGTGAGGTTGAAATAATGAAGATACGATAGACATAAAATTGATCATTGTGACAAATGTTAGGGTGATGATCATGTGTAAAACATTAGTTCAGCATGTCCTCTAACACAGCAAATGAAATAACGGCCAGATCTCAGGAGGGACCGTTTATGTATAAATACTTTTTATACTTTTGACTAGGCCTGGGAAAGTAACAAATTTTGCTGGATGATATTTTGTCCAAAAAAATTGTTGATGATAAACAATATCATTGTCAACATTATCTAGACCAAAATAACCACTAATATAATGTTAATATATCATAATAATGCAAGTACACCCTTTAAAATGCAACAAATAAACCTTCATTTAACATTGAAATGTCCAGAACCAGAACTTCTAAATGAATAAAAATAACAAACAAAAATTAAATAAAAAAAAAGAATCTCACTCCCTGTTAGAAAATGTTGCACCAAAAACAATAAAAAAAGACCCAAAACAATAAATACAATGGCCTATCCATTGTCAACAGCCAAAACTGCACTTCAATAATGATAATAAATATTAATGATAATAGAGTTGTACATTTTTTAATTTTGATATATATATATATATATATATATATATATATATATATATATATATATATATATATATATATATATATTGAGGATGGAAAAATTATTGAGATGGGCATGTGACGTGTCAAAGGGTCTTTACATAACACCCCCACCCCAAATCCGCACAAGCCTGGTGTGTCCCCCCCACTTCTGAAATCAAAATTTCGTCCCTGCTATAAATACACTATCGAGGACCGGATACATGAGTGTTATGGTGGCAAGATACCACAGAACAGCACTACGCCCTCTGTTGTCCTGGCGGGGAATTGCTTTGCAACACTCTGCTGTCTAAACAGAAGTTCGAATGTGAAAACCTTTCCAACGCTTTGTGTGCCTCTCTCCATAAGTATAAATCATGCTTTACTCCGACACAAAAATACAGCTTCCTTGCAACAATTTAGGTATCTACCGCCCCCATAGCCAGGAAAATACACACTGTCACTTTAAAGAACATACAAAACCAAACCACCCAACCTCACCCTCCCTGCTACGATGATCTAAATAAAAAGCAAACAAGAATGATGTTCCAAGTGGATGCCAAATCTATTAAAGTAGAAAAGAAAAGAAACACAAACACTCTTCCACAGGTCAGTTTTCCAAATAACACATAAACAGTGACCAAACAACATTACACTTTTCCACTGAACCCTTTGAACGGCATCTATCTTTTTCCAAATGTGCACGGGGCATGATATCACCAACTCAGTGACCGTAAGCTGGTGGCTTCTATCTGGGCAGTATGAGTCTGTTAGCCAGTAAGGAATAAAAGGCAATTATGACCAGCTGGCATGTGTCCACAGAAGCACCCACCTCAGCCACTGGGTGCACAGGGACATTACTACACATATACTACAAATCTTACAAGGTGCATCACAAATAGACCACAATACCTCTTTAGTTTTGGGCAAGTCCAGAACATATGAGGTCCAAGTCTGGGTCCAAGTCTGTCCTTAAAATGCACTTTTAGAAAATCCAACACAATTAAAAAACCCACAAAGGTGAGCTCTGGTGCAAAATATAAAAAATGGTAACATGTATTCTTTATAACAAAGCATACGGCAATGTTTTCTTTTCTTTTTTCAGTTGACGTTCCCTTGGGTTGTGGGCTCTGCCTCAGCGAAAGGAGTTTGTCTTCCTTGTTCACAACGATTGTCGTGGGGGAGAGTCTGGAGTGACCAAGCGGATTAGGGCTTTTCCGTCACTAAGTCTTTGCTCTGGTTTCTTGCGGTGTAAAAGAAACGGAGCTCTCAATTTACTGGTCTGTCTACATTCCAGCACCTATATTCACCTGTGGCCGACAGATCTAGGTACTAAATGGAAAGAATGAGATCTCTGGCAACAAATTTATAATCCTAAGCCTATTTAGAGGGGCCACTGCTTTCCTCCACCGTATTACTGGCCGTAAACTGGTTAATCTGCAAAATAAACTAGATTTAAAATACAAATACAATCACAGAACTTTCACCCCTCCCATCGACTGTCGTCCCAAGGCCACATCTTCCTGATACCTTTTTGGGACTCTGGTAGTCTGAAAGTTGAAGTGGTAGCAGCCATCTGTTTCTCCTTCTCTGATGTAAATGAGCAGAGAACCTCTCACACCAGTGCTGTTCTGTTGCATAATACGCCAACAAGTAATGAGTTGAGGACCTAGGTAAGTGCAGAAGTACGATGGTCTGACAACTGGTTATTGGAAGAGGTTTTTAGACAAATGCAACATATTCATGGAGTTTTATGATCTCCACAATATATTTATAGCTACTATGTTAGAACATTAGCCAACACATCTAGACCGATCATAGCAAAAGTAG